CACGTCAATGACGGTGACACTGGTTTTTGCCTGCCCTTCTTGCATATGCCAACAAGGAATGGCCAATACTCTGCTCTTAGGCAAATCTGAAATGGGGACGTTATACAAACACAACAAATGAAAGGAAGATGTATTGAGAGAAAGAGATAGGCACACAGTCAACAAACAACCAAGGGCAAATAGGTGGAATAATCACTCTTTGGCCTATCAGAAATGACTCCTTGTCCCCTCACCCATCAATAATAGGTTCGATTCACCCACCAATATTCCCTCCATTCCTTCCCATCTCCTGCGCCCCCAACCGGTTTCCCTCCACCCCTCACCTGCACGCCAGTGTTACTGCCAACAGCAGAGGCGGAGACCGGGATGACACTCGAGCAGATATGGCCGGGATTGTTTCGGTACAGCTCAGCCCAGCGCATAGCGTTCACCTTCCCAGCCCCCGATGGGTCGTCCTTACTTCCTGCCACCTGCAACAGCAGGCGCTCACATGTGTCCTGTGCTGTGAGCACCCCGTATTACAAGCACCGAGGCACGGTGAAGGCGAAGGTGGCATTATGCTCGACGCACAGAGAGCGGCCCGCCTTGATGGGCTCTGAGCAGCCGAGGCCGGGATTGAGAGCCGTGAGGTTGCTGCTGGTGATGCCCAGCTGGGCGCTGATGGACCAGCATGTGTCGCCCTGGAGGGTTGAACCACGGGAGAAGGCACAGATGGCTGAGGTTAATGGAGCACGGCAGTACTATGAGCACGGTGGAGTTGATAAGACAGCGTTGCCGTGCTGACACAGAACAGCAGTGAGGGGATTTGGAAAAAGAGGGACGAAAATGGCTAACGGTCACGAGGAGGGTGTTGAAGAAAGCGCTGGAGGCTAAACAAGAGGAGATAAGTTACAATAGATGAGGTGAAAGGAGAGTGGCTGTACTGTGCACAATGCTGATTTAGGCTGGGTTGGCAAGACAGTCCTGCTGAGGTAAGCACTGTGGAGTGGAGAAACAAAGAAATGAAGGGATATTTTGATGGGATTCAGTAGAAATAAGAGAATTAACAAGGACGACAGCTCACACTGAGGGTGTAGAAGACGGTGCAGGGAACGAGGAGAGAACTCCCCAGCTGAAGCACGAGGTTACGAGGCAAAGGACGACTGCAGTCAATGGCCTGCAATGAGGAGCACACACAGATTTGCATTGAGCATTTGATGACTTGAAGTCTAGCCAAGTTAGGATCCTGCAGAGTCACTATTTCCATTCAATTCAGCCAAAGGCTTCAATAGTATTCCCTGCAACGATAATTCATGTTTCCTCTGATCTACCACATGCTCTGGCCTGCCTCTCATCTCTCGCAGCCTCTCCCTCTCCACTGCTTACCGCATTCAGCTGCGCAAACTGGGCAAGTGAGAGGCCCACAAGAGGAAGGACATCGGAGCACCACCAGTTGCTCCCACTCACTGCCATGGTGTTGGCTGTGACGTTGGCTGGAAAGGTGAGAACGTGGAACAAGGGAAAGGCAGGGATTTAACAAAAGCGAGTTTGATAATTTTTTGTGAACAGCAGCAGAGAGTGGAAGCAGCTCACAGGGGCCATGGGAACCCCAAATGATGATACACGAATAACCAAAGCCATGGCAGCAGCACCTGGATCGCAGGTGGGGAAGTTGTCAATGGTTATGCTTGCAACGTAGTTGGGAGGGCAGATGCAGGAGTAGGAGCCCTTCCCGTCATTGATGCATGTGCCCACATAGCAGGGGTTCTTCAAGTCAGCCCCACACACGTCCACTGGCAAGCAACACAAACACAAGCGGGAAGAAAAATGGTGAAACCAGAGCGATACACATTTATTTAGGGTTCAGGAAAGAGCGGAGGGAGGGAGGGGGAGAAGAATTAATACACGAATTGTTTTGACAATGGCCATTGTTTTCACAATGGCCGTTCTTCGGACAACAGCCATGGATCGACATTCTAACAACTTACAGTAAGCACATGTTTGGTAGCCGTATCCGTTTGCAACTTCAACAAATGGCTGATTGGCTTCATTTGGAATGGTGCTGTTGCACGAGTTGCTGTTGCCCGTAGGTTAGCCCGGCATGAGAACCGCCCACACGGGTTCATGCTGGGCTGCAGTGCGCCATCACCCTTGAAGCTCCTCTGGCCGCAAGGGTCCTTGGGGACTGGAGGGTGGTGCAGACGAGAACAGGATGAGAAGAAACAGGTGCACAAGAAGTTACGCTGAAAATGACACTGGGAAGGCAATAATGAGCCGGTAATTGACCAACCCACAGACGTGGACAACACTGCCTCACACTCTCTTCTCTCTGTTGACAATGCCTTCACTCCATCCACCCTACTCCACAAACCAAACGTGGAGCGATCGTCTGGACTCATTAAGGTTGGTTTGACGCTTGTCCCGGCCTCACTGTCAAACATAGTTGACACTGTGAGTACTCAAAGGGGATGGAGATGTGGAGAACGATGGAGGAAGTTGCCTCACTCTTCAAAATGGGGTAGATGCCAGGCAGCACGTTGATGCCACACACACAATCCCCTCCCTGGATGTCCATGCGCATGTGGCCTCGGTCACCCCACTCCACTCCCCACGAGTTCCAGACTATCCAAAATGGAGGCGCAATGCGATTTTGGCTGCCGTCATTTCTCAAGACGAAGTACCCAACAACGAGTACAACATGGTTCAATCTGCCAGTATAGCATCCAGGATCCTGGTACTTGAAGGTCTGAACAGAAATAAGGACACCACGATGGGAAGACAAATGAGTGTTCTTGAGGCATACAGCTCAGTGCAGGCAAAACGTTTGTACAACTTTTTACATCGAATGTATAGCATGTAGGATCAATGCAAGCAAAACGCACCCCGTCATAATGTGCAAATGCTAGAGCAGAAGCCTCGATATGAACCACCACTGGCTGTCGCTGCACTGCCAGCATGAGCCCCACAAACCCCTTGAAACGTGTGCGCTCAAAGCCGTCCACAGGGTACTCCTTTTTCTGCAGATTGGTAAATGGAAATTTAAAAAACATTCAGGAAGGAAGAGAACTAAAGACACAAAGAGGCCATGATGGAACACTTAAGCTTGATCGCTAAAGTTGAATGCAAAATTTGGGACTGGCCTAGCTCATCTGTGTTTCAAAATGCAATTGCTGCCATTGACAATGGTTGCAACAACTGACTTTTGAGCTCAGAAAAGAGTCCCACCCCATATCACCCATTGTAGTATATGTGCGTGCACCTCTCTTAACATCAGCCCCCCACCCGAAGTTCCAAGTTCTCTGATATCACCAGCAATCCCTTCTGGCCTTCCATTTAGCCGCACTACTTACAGGCACTCCAACTTCTGTGACTCCTCCACGAGGCAGCGCGAGAAGCCTTTCAAATGACTCTGTGGGGGAGCCCCCCGTGATGCACTTGTCAGCTTCGGAGGTGAGCCCCATGGCTGCAAAGAGTGACTCCACTGACAGCTGTGGCGCCTCTGCATTCAATGCAATGCCGTATGCCGCTTCCACGCTCGCCACCAGCGCAAACGCCCAACAAGCATCTGGGATGATAAAATAGTTAAAGACGTGAATAATTAAAGGCAATGTGATGATGGAAACACGTATTGAGCCGAGTATTGTGCGATACATTAAAGATGAAAGTGACTAGCAACGGAAAACATGCGGATTGTAGCAGCCAAACAAGACACACCAGCCAAGCGATTGGCTCCAGCATGCTTCTCCAGGTTCCCCAGTGGTTTCACTCACTGCACTCTTTCTGGTCCTTTACAGGCCAGCCAAGGAAGGGCACGGTGTCCCAGGAGTGGAAGTCGCTAATGACCCACGAGTCCTGCTTGCTGGGCGCCACTCGGTAGTCCGCACTCACGTAGCGCGGGAAGGGGCTGGCCCATGCTGGCATGTAGGTGTTTGTTGATAGCTGCAGGCCATAGGCTGTGACGTGCTCAGAAGTTGAATTACGGAGAAAGGAATGGGATGTGAAAGAGACAAGTTGTCACAAGGGAGAACTTGAAGGGGGATGATCAGTACAATTGGCTGCAGTGCATTGCCCTTAGATTGCTGGGCTGCACCTCATATCTGATCACATCTGCACCTCATGGGGCCATTTCACAAGTATTGCACATTCACCAAACAAGCACTCCGTTCAGTGCTGGAGCAAATATATTAATACCTCGCTCATGCGCGGTACAGGCCTCTCATCAAGAAATAGTTTACCTAAATCGGTACACCATGAACATAGTTGCTCAGCTTCTCCTTTTTCCACTTTGGGATTAGTTTGCTCGGGATCAGTTTGCTTGGGATTAGTTTGCTTGGGATGAGTTTGTTTGGGTTTAGTTTGCTTGTGTTCGCTTGGGATCAGCTTGGAATTAGTTTGCTTGGGATCAGTTTTCTAAGGATCAGTATGCTTAGGATCACTTTGCACTGTGATGTGCACCATGTACCACATTGTCTAGGTTATTCTTAATTGTTGCACCTAAAGTGCTGAGTGCATGTATTTATTACAAAGAAAATAAAAAACAAAAAAAACAAAAAGAAAGCATGGTAAGAAGGAGAGTGAAGCATACAGGTGGGAAGATAAGCATACATGAGGGCAAAAATTTGTACAGATTATACAAATGATCAAAACAGTCAGTCAGTCACACCGCTTGCCTCTTTTGTCCTTCTAACAAAGGTGGTTGCAAGAGTTGCAACAGAAGCATGGGAGACGATGTCTCACCTGGATTACGTGTGACTGTTTGGGGAGAAGCAAGAAGGCCTGGGAGAAAAAAAACAATCAGAGCGAAGAAAGAAGACGGCGTGTAAGATTCAGAAAATGTGTGATTCATATCTACAGTCACTTTCAGATTGCATGCATAAGACAAACCGTCCATCAGTACACTCATGAGCACCAGCACTAGCCCCATCATGACGATGGTTTACATCTGCATCCCGCAGTCACGTTGCCTCCTCTTTAACATCTTCTAGACCAGACATTAGGTGTTGTTAACCACCATGCCAAGTTCATCCTTCTAACAGCACACTCTGCTTACCTGTGTCCACTGTCGATTCAAGAATGACGTGGCGCTGAAACGGCTTTACAGTGGTGGATGCCACGAAGCCAAAGAAGAAGGCGGGCTGCTCGGCTGCACCCTGCAGCACCTCACACAGCGCCAGCCTCCTCTCCAGCAGTGCCTGCTGCGGCTTCTCCTGCAAGTCAGCCAGGAAGACCTGGATGGTGCCGGGGTTCCCCGGCTCATAGTCCACCCACGCCGTGTACGCCTTCCTGTTGCTCAGAGGGAAGGGCGACCTCACAGCGGCTAGCGACTTGTCCTCGCCTCGAATGTTCAGCCCCACGTGCTGGCTGCTCATGTCGCCATGCTCCTTGTTCTGCAGCGCGTCAAACTCAACTGCAATGCTCCGCGTGTCCATTCCACCATACCCCACACCTGCACCACTCCCCACCCGGTCTATCGCAGAGACGACAAAGGCAAAGCCGTTGAAGCCCACGCGGCCGGTTTGAGGAGAGAAGGAGAAGGTGAAGTTGGCGTGGAAGGCGAGCTCCAGCCCACACCCCAACCGTGTCTGCCCTGCCTCGTACACAAACAGCATCACCGGCGCTGCCGTGAAGTTCCCCCCTGTCTCGCGCTGCGTCCCCTTGGTGAGCACAGACGCTGGCGGGAGAACCGGCTGGCTTCATGAGTAATTCTTGTTCTGGCCTGCACAAACATATCAGAGGGACGGACAGGAATGAGATACGCGCAAGAATCTGAGCGAGAATAGATTGAATAGATAAAGGAGCTCAAGGTTCTTAAGTACATGGGTTGGAACAGATGGGCAGGGAATCTGGGGCAATCCCCAGTAAGATCGGCTGAAATCTTCAATTGGTGGGGTTGAAAATTTTGGTTGATCACATCACATTTGGGCTGGGTTGGGATATTGGAGTAACACCCCAGCCACGAAAACTACAACTACAGTGTACTAAGACATACAAACTGCAAGTAAAAACAAGGAATGGAAGTCTCTCTCTAATGATACGAAGGTTGAACAAATTTCCGATATACAAGCTACTGGAGTTCATGCAAGTTGGACATCCCACCATTTTGTGAATCCGTCTGTGATCATGTTTCATCGATTTCAAGTGATGTCCCCTACCTTGAGCAACACAGCTGATCTCTCCATATTGCACAAATCCCGCGTCGCACAGACATGTGGGTGCCAAGCTAGCTCCCTCTGGATAGCACACCCCATGCCCTCCACACGCAGCAGCAGCAGCACCAACAGCAGAGGACACGCCACAGAATGCATTGCATGCTGCCTCCTGCCGCTGCGGTACCAATGCACAGCTAAGCGGCAGCGTGAAGCAGTTGGCATTAAAAGAGAGAGGCTGGCATGCCCCGTCGGGCAGAGGGCCCGAGAGATAGTTGCTGGAGAGATCCAGGGTGCGTGCAGCAAGAGGCGTGACTGCAGGTCCTGTGAGGTAGTTGTGGGAGAGGTCGCTGCAGTGGGGTGGGGCAGGTGCCGGGAGAAAGACACATGGGGATCAACTCATTGCGTCCAGACTTGGAAAAGTGGTTTTCAGGAAGGGAAGGTGTGAGGGGTTGTTGAGTAGCATGTGTATGGATGATGTGTGGGGAGAAGATGACGGACACGGGAAGGCATGAAAAGGAAAACTAGGAGTATGAGAAGCGGAGCAGAGGGGGAACAGGAGGTAAATGAGGAGGGAGCAGGCAAAATCCATATAATCGAATTGACGCATTGACATGAAGATGAAGAAGAGACATATCAGGAAATGGTGGGCTGAGTTGGGGGAAGTATGATGTGAAGAGAGACGAGATGAGGAAGCACCCCAAAGGATGTCGAGGTGGAGATTTTTGAAGGCCGCAAGCATGGCAACCACGAGCATTCACGTGGTGATGCTGAAGTCAGTTTCCACAAAAAAAACTACAGTGCATGCTTGGTTGGCACGTCCCACAATGAGTCACCTGGATTCCAAGTGGCGCACATTAATTCATTTAGTTTTGGGACACATTCATTTGTTTAGTTTTGGGTAGTGTTCAGTGTTCATTACCCTCGCTTGAAGACTTGCACCTCTCTGCTTAAGATTTTTTTTTTTTTTTTTCCTGATCTTTGTGACTAGAGACCATGCCTGGCACGGCTGGTGCTGCTGTTGGCTCGCTCACAGCACAGTTTTGAGCGAACAGCGAGCATGGGTGCATGACTTGCCGAGTGCGTACGAGAGGGAGAATGCCAGAGCATGCGGAAAGGAGTGAGGAAGTGTGTCGGTCGTACAAGTATGTGAGCTGTGCGAGCTTGGTGAGAGTGCTCGGTATGCTCCCATACAGCTCGTTGAAGGCGAGAGACCTGATGGCCATGCCGGGGAGACGGAAAGATGTTAGAGGAGGGCGACCGGGAATATAGAAGGGGAGAATGAGGAGGGATGGAGACCAGGTTGGATAGGTGAGCGAGACATAAATCGTGGCTAGAGTCGTGGTGGTGATATAGAAGAATGGTGCAATACTCACATGCTAAATTGACACGCTAGATTTACTTGCTATATTTACCTACTACATTCACGTGCTGGATTCACTTGCTAATTTTACATGCTACATTCAGCTGCTAGATTCACTCGCTATATGTACTTCTAGATTCACGTGCTTGACTCACTTACTGAATTCCCTTACTAGATTCACTTGGTAGCTTTTCTCGCTAAATTCACTTGCTAGATTCACTCACTAGATTCACTTTCACTCGGTATAGTGGCTTAGAGTCATGTGCTGGATTCAGTTGCTTAATTCCCCTTTCTAGGTTCAATTGCTAGATTCACTCGATGGATTCACTTCCTAAATCCACTTGCTATGTTTAATTCAATAATGTGCTGGATTCACTAGCTTAAACCCCTTACCAGCTTCACTTTCTAGATTCACTCGCTAAATTCACTTGCTAGATTCACTCGCTAAATTCACTCGTTAGATTAGCTCGGTAGATTAACTTGCTAGATTGACTTGCTGCTTGTTGGAAGTGTCTTCAGTGGTACTCAGCACACGAGGTTCACGCTAACGCCATAACACAAAGCACCAAGAAGCCACACTGGTGGTCGCATGTTAGATGCATTTTGCAAAGACATGATTTCCTATATTTGCCATGGACTGAGAATCGACACTACAACTACAAAGAACAGGGTGCTAGGGCCATGCTAGTTTCAAGGAAACGAAAGAAAACAGTACCATTCTTTTCCAGAATTGCAGCCGCTTGTAAGCTCACAGGTAGCGTAGTTGGGATAGTTCCCCAAGAGAGTCAGGAATCCTCCCACTCATACGATTGTCATGAAAGGACCTGTGAAGTGCACGTGCACATACAAGTTACAAAGAGGGGACGCATGAAGGACACTGTTCTGGTAGCATACCCAACACAACAAACACATGCATACAACGCACTACAGTAGACATGAGCAACCAGACGAGTCGAATATTTTACTCGACTCGTGTTCGTTACTCGGTTTCGGCGACTAACGCGGCTGTTTCTGAGAAATTACTCGATTTTTTTGAGTCGAGTATTTCTCCTCAGTAATAGAATTACTCGCGAGCACACGAGTTCTCGGCGAGTATCGAATATTCTCAAATAAACGAATACAAAAAAAATAACGAGTATTGGATTACAAGATTTCGACACTGGCAGGGGGAGGGGGGGGGGGGGGGGGGAGAGCGGGGAGGGCGGGGAGATTTGTGAAATTTGTATTTCCAGATCTGTTTCCCGCTAGACCAGTCAACACACATTGTGTTTGCAGATCAATTACCCCCTCGATCTGCCAACAAACCTTTGTGTTTGCAGATCAGTTTCCCCTGCGATCCGCGAACACACCTTTGTGTTTGCAGGTCAGTTTCCGCCTAGATCTGATATAGTTACTACTCGATCTGCAAGACACAAGCTTCCGTCTTGATGTGTTCTAGCCTCAAGTCTAGCACCCGCACGCCAATGTGCACACCATACCCTTGCGTAATGACCTTCATTTAATCTTACCTTAGTGTGAAGGTACTTATCCCAAAGATCGCCCCATTTCCTCTACCGAGGTTACTTATATCAATCAACCATCGACATGGAACATCTCCATTGGCAATCGATGGGCTGCACGAAGGTGGCCGCGGGGTGAGGCCCTCGTGGTCATGGCGGGCACGGCGTTGATGGGCGAGCAGACGCAGGTGGACGGGTGGGGATGCCCACGAGTGCGGAGCAACGGCGGCGACTTAAGGGCATTGCGGACATTGAGCGAGCCACGGTTGCCACCGCAGCAAGGGTGCGGGGTGTTGGTGGATCCCAGCATACCGCCGCAAAAAAAGCCGCCGTTGCTCCCATGGTGCAGGGCGCAGTGCAGAGAAGGTTTTTCCTCGAGCTCGCTTCATTCATTGGCTACTCGATCAAGCGGGCTGCGGCTTTTGAGGAGGAGCAGAGAACCCTTTACCACGGGAAGCCCGTGCTCAAGATGAAGCAGTACAAAGAGGTTTGCTGGGGATCCAGTCACGCGATGATCATCCGAGCGCAAGGCGATTGACACTTTCGTGCGCCATGGTGCGGTGAGTGTTGGATGCCTAGATTTGACGCTATTAGGGATATCCGTGATGGTAAGAGCTCCTCTGTGTTCCTGGTCAGCAACGTGTATTCCACCATGACCGTCATACACTCCCCTCCACTTGATATATTTCGCAGCCCTCTCTCAACCAACACAATTGCCATGGCAGGGGCCCACCACTCCTGCAGAAAAGGAGCACGTTTCCGCGCTCCGGATCATTCCGCAACAGTGGCAGGCACTAGATGAGCTCGCGGCCTTTCTCCGTCCCTTCAACACCATGACACTTGCGGTTGAGGGGTCTCTTTACCCTACGGTCAACTGCATGGTGCCGTAGTTTAACAGCCTCATGAACAAGCTGGAGAAACTGCGGAACGACACCCCCCCTGCGTGCATCAAGGCAGAAATGCCGAAGCTGCATGAGTAGTACGCGTCCAGCAGCAACTAGCTGAGCGTCGCGATATTCCTTGATCCCACATTCAAGCTCGGTTACTTCGATCTGCCCAGGGCTGAAGCTGAGGCAAGGGCGAGCACACAGGGTTGGAGCTGTACACGACCCTGGTGTGGGATGCCATGCCAAGGAGAGGGAGGGGGGAGGGGGAGGGGGGGCTGACAAGGGAGGGGGGGGGTGGGGGAGGATGCGGGGCATGAGGAGGGGCCAGGAGGTGATGGGGCTGGCGGTTCTGGTGGTGCTATTTCGGGGGCGAGGACAAGGAGGATGCCCTAGCTGCACAGTTGTTATCATACCGTGTGAGTCGGATTTGTGTGCGCTGCAAGCGATGGCCAGGGATTACCTGACCATCCCAGCTACGTCTGCTGCGAGCAAGAGGGTTTTTTTCACAGCAGGATTCTCGTCACCTGGCAGCGTCATCGCCTTGGGGCTGAGCATGTTCGTGCATGACTTTGCATCGCGACTCATCCGGGCGAGAGGCTCGTGCCGCACTGTACCACTCTTGCGTTTGAGGAGGATGTCATGTTGGAGATCGAGGAGGGGTTGTGATATAGTACATGCATAGCGATGGCAAACTTTGCATGCGTATACTTTTACATTGCACTAATAAAATTACTTGGACGCTCACCTGGGTGCATGACCAGGTTCCGTTACCATGTTCTGTAAAGGGCCCTGACATGCACTGACCTGACCCACCCTGCCCTGCCCTGCTCTTCCCTGCCCTGCCCTGCATGCCCTGCCCTGCCCTGCCCTGTATGCCCTTCCCTGCCCTGCATACCCTGCCCTGCCCTGCCCTGCATACCCTGCACTGCCTCGCGCTGCCCTGTCTTGCCGTGCACTGCTGCATGCACAGGCAGGCAGGCATTTAAAGCCTTTCCCATCCTGGTTTAGAAAAGAGGGGCGGTTGGTTGGCCACTTCTATATTGCACTATTGTGGTGAACTTTGTTGTATGTGGTTTCTCATAAACTAGAGCTAGGTGGGTTGTTGCAGGTGGTGGAGGTTGCTGCAACGGTGGGCTTGTGTCACAAACACACGGCGTGGGTACAAATACCAACAAAAAACTAAGAAAAAAATAAGTCGAGCATTTCTTCATCTAAAACAAGAACTTCATTACTTGGTCCGAGTAACGAGTACTCGTTTGTTTACATGATTTAACGAGTCGGGAC